GGTTGAGGGGTCAATGGGGGGGAAGGAGGGGGACAACTGTAATACTTTCAACAATAAAGATAAATTAAACAAAAAAAATACAGTGGTGGAATAGGCATAGGGTAACAGTTACAGGCATTCCCATTCCAAAAGGGAAAAGTCAGAAGAATAAAACGGTCACTGGTCCCACACAATTTCAAAATCCAGCAGAGCAAATTCCATTAGGTTATGAGGCCTACAAATAATCCTCTATGGCTTGAGGCTATGTCCTCTGAGTCTGCAGTTCCAACCTCTGCACCCAGGGCTCTGGCCTTTGCACCTGTGACTCCAGTCTGTGTGCCTGGAGTCAGGCTTCTAGGCACACAGCTCTCACCTTAAAGTCATTCTTCCTCTTCCTTGAAGGGTAGCACATGTTTGCAGCTGAGCAGTTTTATAAGCCTGTTTCCTCCCTGTAGAATTTTGGGAGTATGACAGCCTTCTTTTATTTCATCTTATCTCTGTCCCTTTCAGTCCAAGCTGGCAATGTTTCTGCTGATATAACATTTTCAAAGACCTTGTGAGTCTCCTGTGTATGACACAGGAATCCATGCCATTAGTCAAAATGGTCTTTCATAGATCTTTCCTGAATAATCCCATCTCTAGTCCTGGTTTCTGTTATGATAGCCGAATGGATTCATGTGTCACATGCCTGACCCCTTCTAACACTAGTAAAAATTGTCCAGCAACACCCTTGGCTTTCTTTCCACAGCAGGCTTTCCTAAGAACTAGTCTCCTAATTTTATCATCTTTTGCAATCTGAATTGGCTGAAAATTTCCTAAATCATCAAGTCCTGGTTTCTTTACTTAGCAGTCATTCCCTTAATTCAAATTTTTCCTCACACATTTTTTTTATAAGCAGCAAGGATAAATCAGTCCAGAATGTCAACACTTTGCTTCTAAATCTCCTCAGCTAACTATCTAAGTTCATTGCTTACAAGTTATGCTTTCCACAATTCAGACAAGATTTCTGCCACTATATAACTGTATCATCTCTCCAGTTTCTACTATCATGTTCCTCATTTCCTTCTGAGCCCTCACCAGCATCTCTAACATTCATATTTCTACCAACATTCTGTTTATGACAATATATGTATTCTCTAAGACCAAATAGGCTTTCTCTGCTATGCAGAAGTATTTAGTAATAGATATATGAAAACTTAAATATATGCACATATACACAAAATATCATAATGGACAAAATATCATAATTGCCTGACAAACTGTCAAACGTTCATTCATCTAATATTTATTGAGTGTCTACTATGTGGTAGTGCTGGGGATACAAAAGCAATCAAAAAAGACAAAAATCCCTATCCTTGGCATCCTGTATTCTTTGAAGCATGGTGGGGAAGCAAAGGGGAGAAGAAAATCAACACAATGAATAAGTGAATGATAGATTATGATAAATGCTGTGAGAAATAAAGAATAATAGAGGGAAATGTTCCCATTTTAAGCAGGGTAGACCTCACTGAGGTGAGCTTTGAGAAAATACTTTAAGCAAAGTAGATAGGGAGGTAGCCACCTGAGGAAAAAGATTCTAGACAAAAAGGAAAACTAGTGTTAAAGCAGACCACACCTGGCTTTTTCAAGAATAGAGTGTAATAAACAGGGGAGAGAATAAGAGATGAAGTCAAAGCAAACTGGGTGTGGGGGAGAGGCAGATCTTGGAGGGTCTTATAGGCCATTTGGGGGAGTCACTGCAAGGTTTTGAACAGAGGAGAAATGTAATTTGATTTCGGTTTTAAACCCCCAAGAAATGGTTTATAAAAGATATTTCAAGGCATGCACTCAAAATGAGAAAAATTTCCCCTTAATTATACTAATGCCTTATTTATAACTTATTATCAACCAAAGCCTTCTTTCTTCTATTTCTAAACTGCCTCAATTAAAGCTTTAAGGAGTACTTTCCAGGTTAAATATCCTGTAATTTGTTGTTTCTCAAACATATACTTCACCAGTATGGATACTAATCCATTCTAATGAGCTTAATTTCATATGAAGCTTACCTTGACTTGCTAATTATGGCCACTATTCCCTAAGTCTTTTCCTTCTTGAATTGTGGGAACAGATACTGCACTCCTCTGTTTCATTTTCAGGTACATAGGGATACATCTGTGACTTATTTAATATTGGTTCCGTGTCATTAGAGAATATCTAATGATCAGACTTTCTTAAGTGGACACAAAAGGCAGTATGCATTGAACATGTATAGAGTGGGTTATTGCCTCTAATCTTTTTCTTATTGTTATGTACAATTAAGCTCAACTTCCATTTTTAAAGGAACTAACAGGGCTTTATGACAACGTATTGTTTGTTCTCATAAACTTGACATTTTACTAAGAGAACTACATAAATTTGAAATCTGGGTGATTTCATTAATGAAAAGGCCAAGAGCCTGCAACTGATTCATTTCCATCCAGATAAGTCTGTGCCTATGTAATTCTCTCTCCATAAATTCATACTCTTCCCACAATTCTATAACAATCTAGACAATTTTGTTTGATTTTATTTCTTAAGGAAAGGAACCCACAGATAAATAAATCAATATATATTTTTAAAACTACATGTGAGAGAGCAGACTTTTTGAAAGAATAAAGTTTCCTGCTTTTCTTCCCATTATCATTACAATTTATTTTTTCATCTACACTTCATCCACATTTAGAATCTGCAAAATGTTTTTAAAAATAAATTTGGTGGGATCTAAGATTAAAAAGCTGAGTGTAGGAATAGTTTATACCAACTCACTAGGACATCTTCAGCCATTCATCAGCTTGTGGTTTCCAACCTCCTTTTATCAATTGCTCAAAACTTGTGATAATGCTACCACCTGCACCTAAAAATGAAAAAATAAAACAAGAATATTAGCCAAATTTTCTAGAGAAAATATTTGAAACAAAGCCATAATTTTATCTCCTGACTTAAAATCCCAAGAGGATCCCCAAAATAAAAAGAAAAGTTGCTTTGTATATTTATGGTACTGACACTATTGCAATTCTTCCCTTTCACCAGCATGGCAACTGTCTAGTGGGCTGTAATTAAGGTTAAAATTGGGTCCTCAGGCACAGAGATGTGGCTAGAGGTTTGTTTCAGACCTGAAAAATAAAATCCTCTGCTTTATCATTTCTTTCCCTGATATTAGCTTTAGGTGAAATACACTATGAGATTGGGGACATTTTTTCAATTCCCACATACAAAAGAATTCAACAATAAAGGTAAGTAATGCAAAGTAAACATGAACTCATAATGAATCATATTTGCCATTTCCAGTTATTGAGGATTTTATAAAAATAACGGCAATTTTTTTAAGCGCAGCACATAATTTCTTATGTAAACTTGTTTTATTTATGATGGTACTATACCTTAATTAATTATGAATTCCTCTGGTTCTGGGGCTGCTAATGAAACCAATCACAAAAGTTTTATGTTGTAAGGCAGTTGGGCTCAACATAATAGCTGGTGGCTAGTACTAGCGAAAAGTGCTGCTTTTGAAATAACTTTATTAGCCAACAGAAACAAGGCTTCCATCATCCCAAAAGACTTTATTAAAGTATATGGTCCCCATCAATGTAACTAGAGAACTGTTCAGTAGTCATAGTACACCAATAACAGAATATTTATGAACATATACTATTATTACCTCGGGCCCATCCAATAGCTATCATGACTATCCAGCCATTTTTGTAATGGCTACTAGCATGTGTGACTCCACCTACTATTTTCCAAGTTCTGGTCACTTCCTTCATTCCTGCAGCCAGGACTTGAACAGGTAGGAAAGAATAGCCCTGGGAAACTAGGTCACATGGGCAAAAAAAAATAATATACCTGAAATTAAAATTTAAATATTTTAATATATAAATAGAATCAGAACAGAAATAAAAATACAGCATATCAACAATAACAATTTGGCAAAACACAACAAACATATAAACATAAACTCCATATAAACATGGAATTTGACTTCAAGACCAAAACTGGGTAGATTTTTTAAAAATCACATGAAACACCTATAATAATCAGATCATGATCACAGAGAAATTTCATCTTGTTTGAACTTCTGACTACTCTATATATGCAAAAAGTATTTACTGAGTTCTGAATTTGTGCCTATACTCCTCTAGAAGCTAAGTGCTGTATCCACTAAAAAAATAAAGAAAATGTATAATCACTTGTAGGGTAGGGACTTCTCTAGCTAGAGTGCCTTTTTCCCTGGGAACAGGAATTAGAAAAGGGCCCTTGGTAGCTGAGCAAGGGCTGCATCGCAATCCCACTAACATCTTCACCTGTGCCCCTCTGTACAGTACATAAACTGCAATCTATACAAAGAAAGGTCATAGCTCTCAAGGAGACAGATTTGTATTAAGGAAAAACATACTTTCATACAGCTAAAAGAATATGAAGCTTGTTCTTCAATTCAGTTGAGTAAGATTAAGTTTTAACCAATTAAATTGTGATACTAGTTTAAGATAATTCACTCCTCCTCAGGTGAATTATTTTTTGAAGCTTCATTTGTTCTAAGCATCTGTTCAAACAGTTTAGCAGTAGTGTTAAATTGGAAAACACTCTACTTCCCCCCCCCATTCCTAAAAATACTCTCTAGCTGACAATTTTGTGCTTAAAGCAGAATGTCATCTTCTTTCTAACAGAGTGATATGGAATACACTGTATGAAAGAAGTATTATAGTTCTTCAAAAAAAAGTTGATAATCTTGTTGCAATTCATGATTCATAAAGTAAGAATTCCCAAAAGTATGCATGGGATATGAAACCTATTTGCCAGAATACTGCTTCAGAGACCCAACATAAGATGCAATGGTCTGTTCCCAAGGAACTCTTTCTTCTTTATCCCCACCCACCAATTCCTTCTTATTCTTCAAGGTCCCACTCAAACAATGCCATACACACTGGGAATTTTGTTTTATTTAATATTCTCAGTTCAGAATAAATTCTAATGGCTATATACAACTAAAACAATTGGCTCCTGTGCCTAAACGTAGGTCGCTCTTAATAATTTTTCTTTTAATAGACAATGTGGAGCAAAGGTAGATTCACAGTTGTTCATATGGAAAATAATACAATAATTAGTAAATAATAATACAAGAATAAACTCTGTGTTATGTGTACTCACAACTGTAAACCTACTTTTGCCACACCCCATATAAAGGCTGTAATTCTCATAATAAATTTTAATAGACTTTAGATGGCAGTAATAATTCATCTTGCTATTCCCTCACCTAAAACTCAGCATGATGAAAAGTAGTCCTGAATTAAATCATTTATTAACAATTAATCTTGAGGCAAAATACAAATATATCAAATCAAAGAATCAGTTGATAATTAAAGAGTTTGAGAGAAAGCAATAAATTACCTGAGAGTAGTAAAAAGCTTTTTGAAAATGACTGGTATGATTTAAAAACTGTACATGTTCATACAATATTTTGAAAGCCTCTATACACTTCTCTCTTTAAATACAGAACAAATTTCCAAGAAGTCAGTTAGATTTTAGGGGGAAAAATGAGTTACACTTAAATAAGCAATTTTAAAATGTGTTTTTAAATAAAATTAAAATATTTTGGTATCCACTATAGATCAGAATTAGGGGGATTTGGTTTCTAAAGTAAAACACTCAAACAACAAAAACAAAAACACAAATGCCCCCATTTTCATTCTCTACCCTGAGACTATCTTCAACGAGTTAGAAACCTGTACTATTACAAGAGCAACCGTGGACTTTCTATATTCACCTATGTAACATTATGACATACAATCCAAAATTTGTAATTATTGCCATTTTTAATATATAAGTCTTTATTCCATTTAATCATATATCTCTAAAATATACCTATAATAAGTTAACATTTAAAGCAGAAAACAATTCTTGTTTCAAGTGTTATATAGTCACAGGGCAAAAGAACAATTGTTTATTGTGCTTGGTAGACTTGCAAGTAAACATATCAGACTAATGGCTCCTTAAACAACCATTCCTGCTCCATAATACAAGTTAGCTTTCATTATGCCTCTCCTTCTGTAAAAATTATCATTTCACCTTTAACTAAAATTATCTAAGGATCTTTAAATTTGTAAGTGCCTAAAGAAAACATATCAGAAAAGAAGAAATAGAACATATTGAACAAGAAATGGAACAAGCCTGGCCTATGTGGCTCAGTGAATAAGGGTCAACCCATGAACCAGGAGGTCAAGGTTTGATATCCTGTTCGGGCACATGCCAGGTTTCAGCCTCAATCCTCAGTAGGGGGCATGCAGGAGGCAACTGATCAATGATTCTCTCTCATCATTGATGTTTCTATTTCTCTCTCCCTCTCCCTTCCTCTCTCTCAAATCAATAAAAACATTAAAAGAAAGAAATGGAACAAGAAGGCAACTGATTTCTCATTCACTTTTTTTCTCATCCATTCTCTTTCTCATCCATTTTTAAGTCACTTACGTTAATGCAGAGGAAAAAAAAGACAAATAGTGCTAAATAACAGAAGTCAATCTAAAACAGTATACAAACAGAATACTAAGCCACTGACAAATGAAAGCTAAACCAGTTTAAGTAGGAAAGATAAAAGCAAAAATTAAGTTAATACCAAGAGTTGAGCAGAAAGAAGCTTCCCGTGATTAGTCACTGAGAACTCTGTTTTCACTCTATTAATTCCACTTCTCTATCAAAGACAGCATTACTTAACTAAGCCAAATAGAACTATAAACTAAATACAGTTCATATTAGCCCAAACTGATACCTTTTTCTTGTTCTTATTAATCTAAAAAATAACTTTATATGATTTGAAAAGACTATGGCAGAATGGCAGACCTATAAAACTATAACTTTTCTTGTATTTTTCCTCATAAAAATGCAGTCTCAGTTATGCAAATGTGCAATATATAATAGATACACTTGAAGTTTAAGGAAAACAAACAGGGATCCAAAAATCAATACACACAAAAATTACAACATATTTCTTTCCCCCAGAAACAGTTTCAAAGAGGAAAATCCTATCAAAGTGTACACTGTCTTCCCAACAGTTGTTTCCCTTTGCCAGTAGATGGTGCTAATCTCCAGATGTGAGCACTACAAGCTAGTGTACTGGATAAAGATGACCCTTCCAATAAGTGCATTCACAGAATCCCTTAGTTTAGCTTACTAGAGTTTAAAGTATATTCCAAACATCCTTTTCTCTCTCAAATCAAATGAAGCAAAGATTATAAATATGTTCTTAAAATTAAAACCATTAAAAAACAGCAAAATAAACTGTGCTGTTAAGCAAGTATTTTTAATTAAGAGTCTGTGAGGAGAGAGACAATATTTGCATTTTCAGAATCCAAAACAATCTACTACATACTACATAAGCACAGACTAAAGGACTAGATACCGTAGGTTTGAATCCTGGCTCCAACTAGTAGGTATCTGAGATACTTTGGGCAAGTTATTTAACCCTTCTTGCCTCAGTTACCTCAGCTGTTAAATGAGAATAAAATAGTACCTACCACCTTACAGGATTCTTGTGAGGTTTACAAGAGATAATGTATGTAAAGCACATAGAAAACGTCTGAGACATAGTAAATACTACACCAGTGGTTGCTACTGTTATTGTTTTGTAATGACCAACAAAACTAGAACCATTAACATGCTCACCAGAAGAATAAATAAAATATAGATATTAATATAATGAATTACATAGCAGTGAGAGGAAATGTATTATAGCTACATGCGAGAACAGAGATGAATCTTAGTAACATAATGTTCAGTGAAGAAAACAGTCCCAGAGAACTATATATAGGCATGTGTCACTTAACAGTGGGAATATGTTCTGAGAAATGTGTCATTAGGTGATTCTGTTGTACGAACATCATAGAGTATACTTACAGGGGACATCAAAACTAAAAGCAAGGATTCTGGAAAGATGGTAGCAGCAGTGGCTGCATAGATTTTGATTTCTTCAAATCTCCACATAGACAAGGCATCTACACAGCAAAACCAAAATCCCATCCACAATACCTAAAACAAAACTACATGACAAGGTACTCTCAAAACACAGAGACTATTCACCAACACCCACAAGATCTACACTGCTTGGCAGAAAAAAAGAAAGCAACAGGTGGCAACTAATGAGCCTAACAACAACTCCAAAATAGCTAATGAGTATTCGCTAGAGAGCATATCAGGCCAAAATGGAAAACAACAAAAACAAAGGCTAAAACTGGGAGGGATGCTGGCATCTCCAATACTGCATGAGACAAAAGGTCCATGATAAGAAGGTCTAAAAAGAGGTTGGCTCAATTTAGTCACCATGAACTTTCAAAACTGATCCACCCAGGGTGTCTTCTAGAACAAGTCCCACAGTGAGAAGAAACTGCTGGTGTATAATAGAAACTGAGTAGGGTAGAACAACAGAAGAAACAGGAGATCCAGACCAAACTGGGGAAGGGGAAAAGACCTAGGAAATCTCAGAATGCAGGTCATCATTTTTGGAACACTATATAAAACCAAAAGGCCGAGCTCTATGAAGTCAAAAAACTTTCCTGAATTCCACCTTATGCTAAAAGTTAAAAAAAACCTAATTCCCCATAAAAATGACCAACAGAAAAGGATCAAGGTCAAATCCCATACACATTTATTATTTAAAAAAAAAGAATACATTCCTACAGACAATGAAAACACTCACGAAAATATGTCCATAAAACATATCAAAACTGCAACCTACTATTTTAAAACACCCTAAAGACATTATGAAAGTGATAACAATACATAAAACAACAACATACAACAGAATTCGAAAAACAGAACTGAAGATAAAATACTCAGGGAAAAAATAAGGGAAAAAAAGAATTTTCCTAAGAATACTGACCCAGAATGAACAACACTAAGACATATTTTGTTTAAATTATTATGCTTTNACAAATGAAAAACAAACTGGAAGAAAAACAAAGAGAAATAAATAAAACAGTGCTTCAAAAAGTAGAATGTAAAAGGGGAAAACATTTTAAATTTTAAGAAAAGATAAAAAGGTTCACTGAAGAAAAGCAAAGGAGAGACAATATACCAATAATAGGAGTTCCTGAAGAAAGGGAAGAGGACAAGTACTAAAATAACTTTTTCAATTAAAAAAAAAAAAAGTGTAGCTACTAAAAAGAACATATCACGTTCCTAAGAATACTGACCCAGAATGAACAACACTAAGACATATTTTGTTTAAATTATTATGCTTTTAATATATGCCCCCTATGTTCATTGCAGCATTATTTATAGTAACCAAGATCTGAAAACAGCCCAAGTGCCCATCAGTAGATGAGTGGATAAAAAACCTGTGGTACATTTACACAATGGAATACTACTCGGCTGTTAAAAAAGGAAAATCTTACCTTTTACGACAGCATGGATGGACCTGGAGAGTATTATGCTAAGGGAAATAAGCCAGTCAGAAAAAGACAAATACCATATGATTTCATTTATATGTGGAATCTAATGAACAAAATAAACAAACAAAATAGAAACAGATTCACAGATACAGAGAACAGACTGACAGCTGTCAAAGGGGAGAGGGGAGGGGAGCTGGGTGAAAAAGGTGAAGGAATTAAGAAAAAAAAAACAAAACTCATAGACAACAGTATAGTGATTATCAGAGGGAATGGGGGCTGGGGAGAGATAGGAGAGGGTAAAGAGGGGTGGTAAATACAATACAACATACAGATGATGTATTATAGAATTGTACCCCTGAAGCCTATATAATTTTTATTAATCAATGTCGCCCCAATAAATTCAAATAAAAAATAAATTACAAATATTATTAGCCTTTAATGGGAAAAAGTCTTTTGGGCATCTAGGAAAAAAACTGTACATGACTTATAAGGGAAAGAAAATTAAATAATCGTCAGACTTTTCAAGAAAACAGAGTAACATTTAAAACACTCAAGATAGAAAGTATAATCCAATGATTTTTATCCAGTAAAACTCACTTTCAAGTAGAAAAGACACACAGACAAACATGAACATGTGAGAATTCAGGGACTACTGTTCCTGAAGAACCAACTAGAGAATAAGCTTAGGCAACCAAAGTTACTAGAGAGATAAAGACATAAGAACTGGTGGTAAGCATTAATACACAGTTACCTATAAAACTAAGACTAAATGAGGATTAAGAATAATATATAGTATGGAAATAATAGTATAACTATTTTAAAAATGGGATGAAAATGACAAGTATATATGCAAAAAAATAATAATGTTTTCAGTAATCGTATCAGTGGAGAGTATTAGTACTGTTATCCAAAACTACTATGTATTATGTGCATAATACAGAGTAAAATAAATGAGTAATGCTGGAATATTCTAATTCTATCATGTTTTGTGCCCTTAAAAACCAAAATTCTTAGCGGGGAAGAAAGGAGATACATATGTAACAGAGAAAGGTTAAATGAAAGCTCTATGGCCTTGACTTTGAATTAAAAATATCAATATCAACTCATACGTTATTTTATCCTTATTGTTTCCTAGCTCTGTCCACTGAAAAGTCCTAGAAACAGTAATCAATCCAGTAAAAATGAACATCTCTAGCGTTCAGACTGTGGTCTTGAAATGCTATTTCTCAAAATGGCAGAGCTTATTAAAGAAATAAAAGATTCCTTAAGAAAAGTATGAGATGAATCTTCCATTAAGTAGCAAGGAAGGTAATCAAAGTCCCTGGAACCATTCTAAAGAAGTTCCTACCAGCCAAAAATGGAACAATTTCAGCTTCAGTAATGACAATAATTGCAATTTATTAAAACCAATGAAATAAGCTTAAATCCATGAGTTCAAAAAAAATTTTTTCTAATTGTCACCTTTGGAGAATGTCAGAGGACCAATTCATTATCCTGAACACTGAAAAAGGGAAAAAAATCAAGTGTTTATCCTGCCTTTTCTATACAACTGGGTAACCAAATAACAGATGATTAATGGGAATTATCCATTTATAATACTATTCCAACTAATACATAAGAAAAGATAGAATAAGACTACCAAAACTTTGCAAATAGCAATTAATTAATAGATATAGTCACTAAGTATAAGAGTGCTAATGTCAACAAAAAGAAAACTAATCAGACATTTTGGACCTCTTATGGTCCTGCTAAAGGGATCTAACTTGAGTCTGATTTGGATTCTGGATCAATCTGCCCATTTTCAGGAAACATAGGAAATAGAGGAATATAATGACCTGCACTGTGAGTATGCAATCAGCAAGCTCTAAACTATGAAAAACTCTACAAGTCAAATGGCTCTGGGTCTTTAAGAGACAAATTATTAGGGGGGAAGAGATGGAGGGGGGGGCCTATAAAATAAAAGAGATTTAAGAGACATCACATTTTTTAATGGGCATGACTAAATTATAGTGTCTAGTGATTAACACCTGGATGATAAAATTATAAAAATATGCAAGGAAGTGATTATCATAGAAGTCAGGATAATGGTATGTTATTATAATGGTTATCTGAGGTGGGAAGGGGGTTGTGACTGGAATGGGACACACAGAAGGAACTTCTAGGATGGATGATAAAGCTCTATTTCATGACTTGAGTAGTGGATTCAAGGATATACCTTACAATAATTCATTAGGCCACATATTTGTTTTTTGTAGTTTTCTGAATTTTTCCTTTTTAATAAAAGGATTTTTAAGTGGAATTTTTTTCTTAATCTAAATGATGAATATACAAGTTTTTATTGTATCACAATTCTTTATATTTTGCATGTACTTTATAAATATTCATTTGTACCTATTAAATATTAATTGAAAATTTTAAGTTAAAAAACCACGTTGTTCAGAATAAAAATTCCTCTTAATTAATATCACAGTCTAGCCCTGGATGGTGTGGCTTAGTTGGCTGGGCATCATCCCACGCACTGAAATGTTGCTGGTTTGATTCCTGGTCAGGGCACATATCCAGGTTGCAGGCTCAGTCCCTGGTAGAGGGTGTACAGGAGGCAGCTGATCAGTGCTTCTCTCTCACATCAATGTTTCTCCCTCTCCCTTACTCTCTATCTTTAAAAAATTTTTAATAAAAATTGGGGGGGGAAAAAGATCATAGTCTAAGTGCTGAGTCCAGATCCTGCCATTTACCAAGTCTCTAAATTTCCTCTTATGTTAAGGGAAATAATAAAAGATCTGAGATTAACAAATAACTAAACACTATACTATTAATTCACTATATAAAAATGTGTTTCTTATTTTCCATTTGTAATATGCCTTTTAGTTTAAGCCAAGAAAGGATATATTTATGGAAAAGCAAGTTTATTTCACTGAAAGGATCAACTAGTCAAGATCTAAAATTCTTTGCCACTCAAGTGCAGAAATCCCTTAACAATACACAGAAGTCCATTCCTTTAGCAATGTATTTATTGAACCTAGAACGGTACTTGCTACACTGTTAATAAAATGAAATTCCTGCTCTGACAGGCTGTTATTCTAGCAGAGTGAGACAAACCAACATAAAAAGAAATGAACAGATAATATATCAAGTAGTAATCAGTCTAAGAAGAAAAATAAAGAAGGATGACATGATAGTCATGAGAGAGAAGGTGGTATTTCATTCAGGGGCAACCTGTCTGAAAAAAAGAAAATAGGAGCCTTCTGGGAAAGAACATTACAGAGAGAAGACTTAGGCAAGCACAAAGGCACTGAATTTGATTTGCAAGAATCCAAAGCAATTGCTACTAATATTTTTCTTCATTTCAAAACTAAATTCAAGACAAATTAATGTTAAATCTCATAAGGCTCCCCAAAATCCAACAGAGTATGACAAGAACAATTATTATATATGAATTATAATCACTTAGACTTTGGTGTAGTTGATCACATTCTTGATTCCTATCCTGTTGTATATCTGTATATATGGGTTAGGGGATAAAAATAAGCTGTTTGTGGCGAAATATTTGATGCTCTTTCATATTTGAAATGCTTCCACCAAAAATACATTAAGACAGTGGTAACAATAACTACCTCTGGGAGAGGATAAGGGAGAAGAGGGTAAGAAAGAAACATACTTTGCAGATAAAATCTTTGGGATTATCTGAGTTCCTTCCTTTGCACATGCATTAACTTTTCAATAACATAAAATATTTTTTAAAGAAAAAACTGCATTTACTAATAACTTACAAAACAATGTTTTAAATGTCTGATAGTCAAAATGGTAGCTTACCAGATTGAAGATGCCAGTAATATATTAGTGTTGTTTGCAAGAAACCTCAGTGGAGGCTCCGCAAGCAGTAGACAGGATAAAATTCCTCCACCAAAACAGTGGAGCATAGCAGTAAACCAACTTGAAACAGGATTCTTCCATGCCACCGCCACTGCTCCTGAAATAGTGAAGTAAAAATGTGATCTGAGATAGTTGTATATTAAACAAGCCCTGTGGTACTATTAGCACTAAAGAAATAGCAATTTGTTCACTTCTTAATTTTCATGAATTTATCATTACTCATAGATGTGACAATCACATTCATCATGAAACATATCTTCTGTTCTTTAAATCAGGACTAAAAACATTTTGTTCAGACATGGGTGATTTGGGGCAACATTAAAATACTCTGTTCAGGCTCTTATTGCCAGTTTCCTAGTAGTAGATTATTATAAACAATATCCCCACCTACTGTTTCCTTTCATTCCCAATCCTGCTATAAAGTACTCCCAGTTGATATGTTTAAAAAGATATATTAAGAAAAATTTATAATCTTAATTACACACTTTAAAAAATGAAAGCTGAAATAAATGCACTAAGCTTTCAACACAATGGGCTAGAAAAAGAGTAAAATAAACCTAAAGACCAAAAGTTGATGATGAACAGATATTTACATCATCACAAAATGTCTCTGACTGCTGTGGCTAGGACTTCCAGTACTAAGTTGAATTAAGAGTGGTGAAAGCAAACAATCCTGTCTTGCCCCAGATCTGAAGGGAAACACTTTTAGTTTTTCCTGGTTGAGTATGATGTTGGCTGTGGGTTTGTCTTATATGGCCTTTATTATGTTGAGGTACATTCCCTTTATTCCCACTTTACTGAGAGTTTTTATCATATGGGTGCTGGATTTTGTCAAATGTTTTTCTGTGTCTACTGATATGACCATATGATTTTTATCCTTAATTTTATGTGATGTATCACATTAATTTATTTGTGGATATTGTACCAACCTTACATGCCTGGAATAAATACCACTTGATCATGGTGCATGATCTTTTTAAGTATTGCTAATATTTTGCTAATACTCGGTTTGCCAATATTTTGAGGATTTTTGCATATATGTTTATCAGGGATATTGCCTTATATTTCCATTCTTCATAGTGTCTTTATCTCGTTTTGGAATTAGAATGTTGGCCTCTCGTAAAATGAGTTTGGAAGTCTTGCCTCCTCTTGAATTTTTTTGGACTGGTTAAGAGGACAGGTGTTAGTTTTTCTTTGAATGTTTGATAAAATTCACCTATGAAGCCATATGGTCCAGAACATTTGTTTGCTTGGAGTTTTTTGATCACTGCTTCGGTTTCATTAGTTGCAGTCTGTTCAGATTTTGTTTCTTCTTGATTCAGTTTTTGGAAGATTGTATGTAACTAGGAATTCATTCATTCCTTTCAGATTGTCTGATTTGTTGGCATATAGTTGTTCATAATATTTTCTCATAATCCTTTGTATTTCTCTGGTGCCAGTTGTTTCTTCTCTTTTTTATTTTATTTGGATCCTCTCTTTTTTTCTTGATGAGTCTGGTAAAAGGTTTGTCAATCTTCTTTGTTTTCAAAGAACCAACTCTTGGTTTCATTGACCTTTTGTATTTCTTTTTTTTAAGACTCTAATTTTGCTTATTTCTGCGCTCTAATCTTTATTATTTCCTTCCTTCCCTTCACTTTGGGCCTTTTCTAGTTCCTTTAGGTATAAGATTAAATAGTCTTGAGATTTGTATTATTACTTGAGGTAAGCCAGTACTGCTATACATTTCCCTTAGAACTGCTTTCACTATGCCCCATAGATTTTGGGTTGTTGTGTTTTCATTTTCATATGTCTCAAGGTATCTTATGATGTCTTTGATTTCATTGACAACCAACTCCTTGTTTAGTAACATGTTATTTAGCCTCCATGTGAATGTTTTTCAGTTTTTTTCTTGTAATTTATTTCTAGTTTCATACTATTGTCAAGGTAAGAGAAGATACTTGATATGATTTCAATACTCCTGATTTATTAAGACTTGTTTTGTGTCCTAACATGTGGTCTATCCTGGAAGATGTTCCATGTGCTTGAATATAATGTATATTCTGCTGCTTTGGGGTGAAATGCTCTGAAAATATCAATTAAAACCACGTGGTCTAGTGTGTTTGTTGTTTAAGGTCAATGTTTCCTTGTTCATTTTCTGTCTCGAAGATCTACCCATTGATGTCAGTGAGGTGTTAAATTCCCCTACTCTTGATGTATTATTGTTGATCTATCCCTTTATCTCCATCAAGTTTTGCTTTATATATTTAGGGGTTCCTATGTTGAATGCATAAATATTTACATAGGTTATATCCTCTCGTTGGATTGATTTCTTTGCCATTATGTAATGTCCTTCTTTGTCTTTTATAACAGCTTTTGTGTTTTAAGTTCTATTTTGTCTTATATAAGTATTGCTACTCCAGCTTTTTTGTTTCCATTTCCAAGAAATTCCTTTTTCGAGTCCCTTTCAGCCTGTGTATTTCGTTCTGAAGTGGGTCTCTTGTAGACAGGGTATATATGGGTCTTTTTTTTATACATTCAGTCACTTGATGTCTTTTGATTGAAGCATTTAATTCATTTTCATTTAAAGTGATTACTGATAGGTACATAGTTATTGCCACTTTATCCTTTATAATTGTGTTCCTTTTTTCTTTTTCTTTCTTCTTCTTAAGAAGTCCCTTAAACATTTCTTGTAATACTAGTTTGGTGGTGATGAACTCCTTTAGCTTTTTCTTGTCTGGGAAGCTCTTTAGTTCTCCTTCCATTTCAAACAATATCCTTGCTGGGTAGTCTTGGTAGTTTGGCCTTGCTTTTCATCACTTTAAATTTTTGTGCCAATATTTTCTGGCCTGAAATGCTTCTGTTGAGGAATCAGCTCACAGTCTTATGGGAGCTTCCTTGTAGGTAACTATCTTTCTCTTGCTGCTTTTAAGATCTTCTCTTTGTTCCTTGTGGGGGTTATGTGAGCCCTCATATTGTAGTTGAGTTTTGATTGCTGTTGGCCCATCCATGGGTGGGACTGACCCTCAGGCTGGCAGACTCTAAGAATCAACCCTAACAACAGTGTGTAAGCTGCTGTGCAGGAGCTGACCTTACAAAGAGGAATTCACCCCAGCAGGTTCTGGTGGTGCCAAGGTGTCCCTTTGAGAGTGCCGCTTATAGAGCTAATTAGGTTGTGCTCTGATGTAGTCTGAAGCCTGCCACCAGGTGCTGGTTCTGGAGCCCCTTGGGAGGGATTCTGACACAGGTCAGTCAGATGCTGCCTATGACTGGCCCTGGACTACCTGTTTGGAGCTAAAAAGAGATCTAGTTTGTGGCTCCGTCTGCTAAGCCTGGTGCACATGGGAGGGGCTAGGCTGTGTGCCAAGGCCGGCTTCCACCAGTACCAAGCCCAGAAGCAGGTCAGCATAAAGCTTAAGTCACCCTGAGATCTGCCTCTGCTTTCTGCCCATTAGGCTCAGTCACTGAAAGAGCCTCTAGTGGCATGCAAGTTGCTTGAGTAGGTTCTCATTCACAAGGTAGGGGCAAGTGGTATTCACCAGGAGTGATCAAACTGAAACTCGGCACAAGTGCTGAACCTGAGGGCACTCAGCAAAAGTCTAAGAGTACACCAAGGGCAGTCACATGTGCCCGAGGCCTGCAAACCTTTGCGGTGAAGCAGGAACTCAAGGAGTAATCAGGGTGAGGCCAACAGAGTTCATCAGGTTAAAACAGATTAAGATTTGGCCATGTGGAAAGACAGCTCTGCACAAAAACAATGGTGGCAGTTGGGCATGTGAAGGAAAAATGGCCCTCACCTCTGAGCCACAAAACTCAGTCTCTCCCTATACATCTCGGCCACCTCAGGTCTGCCAGGACCTCCTTGAGAACCTTCCAAGAAAGTTGAGACCATGGGCCTAGGCTGACCACAGCAAGCTAATTCCTCCACAGGGCATGAGCTTGGTAGGGCGAGGCCACAGGGATTTGGAAGGGTGGAGCTAGTGAATTTCCCCAGGCTAATGCCATATGGAGGGGAGTGCTTGACCCAGGAAAGATGGCATTTGTGGGTGGTATGGGAGATGGACTCAGCACAGGGACCTTGGCAGCTGTCCCTCCAAGCCTCTCCCTGTATGAATCCAGTCTGCTCTGAGCCTCCATCTCTCTGCCAGAACCTGAGATGTGTGCCCACAAACAAGATTTTGTGCACCAGCCCTTTAAGAGGGCTCCTGGCTTTCTACCAGACCTCCATCTCTCCCTGGCAGACAGAAGCTCCACTGATTTTCACAGCCAGATGTTAGATAGTCTCTTCCCAGATCTGGTGCTCCTGGGTGGGGAGGCCAGCATGGGGTTGAGACCCCACATTCCTTGGTGGGGACCTTTGCAGCTGAGATATCCCTGTAGATTCTCTACTGACACACATGGACGTGGGGCCAGGCCTTTTCACATCTCTGTCCTGCCTACCAGTTTGGATGTGGCTTCATCTGTAATCCTATTATAAGCCTTCTGTTCAGCTAGTCTTTAGTTGGTTATTCAGGTTGATTGTTCTATAATTTAATTTTAATTCCAGTTTGGTCCTGGGAGGAGGTGTCACTTCCACCTATTCTAGGTCATCTTGGATCCCCTGCCATCTATGTATGTTCTGTGGTGAGGTGTCTATCCAGAGCTTATGCCCATTTTTTAATTGGGTTGTTTGTCTTATTGTTGAGAATTAAGGGATATATATATGTATTTGGATACCAGTTCTTTATTGGATATGTGTTTTGAAAACACTTTCTCCAAGTGTGTGGCTTACCTTAAAAGTGGTTAGAAGACTGACATCCACAAAAATGTCCTCCTCTCCCCCTTTTGCTCTCCCTACTTTTAGGGGCTTCTCTCTTCCTCCAGGGAGAGCCTGGTGAGTCCCGAACTTGAGGACCTATGTTCTCCGCTTGGAGTGGATCCCTTTTCTGGGTTGACCATGGCCTCACCTAGTAGCCTCAGGCCCTGAGGGTTGGTTTGGGTGCTGTGGCCTATACCAAGCCTCGAACCTAATGTTCTGACCTTCTGTGAGGCCCCCTAGCTTAAGGTCCCTTCTGCTCACACAAGTTCAAGTGAGTCCTGTTGTTGCAACTGAGAACTTCATCTGGATAGAGCATGTTCACAGTGTACCCTGTGACTGGTTCAGCCTCCCTAGAATTGCTTGGGTCCCCTACCCCAAGTGTCTCCTCAGAAAAGAGCAGTGACTTTACTTCCTGACTATACAGCTCAATAGAACTTGGAACACTGGTAACCAGGCAGTCACATTCTAAAAAAGCCTTACTTGGCTACAGACATTGAAAATGACAGGATGTTTCTTGTTGTATGCCCATGTCCCAAGGCCATTGCCTCAAAAAAGCCAGCAATGACAGTATGTTTCGATGCTGCCAACATGATACTGTATATAGAGAACCCTAAACATTCCACCGAAAAACTACTAGAACTGATCAATGAATTTAGTAAAGCAGCAGAATACAAAATGAATGTTCAGAAATCAGTTTCATTTTTATACACTAATAATGAACTATCAGAAAGGGAAACTTAGAAAACAATCCCATTTATGATTAAAAATTTAAATTTAAAACTGACTCAAGTGTCCTAGGAGTTTCATGCAAGAATATTAAAGTAGTGTTGCTTATAACTCTATGAAAATTTTTTTTTAAAATCTAATGACCTTCATCAGAGAAACAGTTAAATAAACCATGATCACTTCTACTATAGAATATTTATACAGGAGCAATTCAAGAGTGTGGTAGGTCATTAGAAACATGGAAAGATCCCCAAGACATGCTGTTGATTATATGCAAATAACCAAATACAGTCATGTTGAACAACAATATCACAGCATGGATCATTTATGGGCAAAAATGCAACCACTACACATTTCTCTAGGCACAACAGATACATGGAATGCCCAGAACAGGTGTGCAATACAACAAATGTTAACTCTTATTATCTCTTGAGAAAAGCCTGGGATTAGGGAAGACGACAAAAGAGGCTTTAAATTTACTTAATTAAATTATTTAATTGTATTTGGATTCTTTAAAATAAAATGTTCATGTCCTAGCTGATTTGGCTTAGTGGTTAGTGTCAGCCCTCAGACTGAAGGGTCATGGGTTCGATGGGTTCGATTCCAGCCAAGGGCACATATCTCAGTTGCAGGCTCAATCCCCAGCCCTGGTAGGGGCACATGCAGGAAGCAACCAATCGATGTTTCTGTCTCACATCTTTCTTTCTTTCCTTCTTTCTTTCTTTCCTTCTTTTTCCCTTTCTCTCTCTCTCTCTCCCCCCCCCACACACACCTCACCCCCCTTCCACTTTCTCTGAAAAGCAATGGAGAAAATATCCTTGGGTGAGGATTAAATATAAATGAATAAATAAAGTAAAATAAAATGTTCACTTATTAATTGTATATTTAAACAAAATTTTAACAAATTATGTCATACCCAATCTGAGTAATACAATGCATCTCTTCAAAAGAATGTAGCAGCTTTACATGCACTGACATGACAAAATGAAAACCCCAAATATATAACAAATATCTACAGGAAGAAATCATTAACGGGGAAAACCAAATATGTCTGTTTGGTTTTTTTTAAACATATCTTTATTGATTTCAGAGAGAGGAAAAGAGGGGGAGAGAGAGAGATAGAAACATCAATGATGAGAGAGTCACTGATTGGCTGCTTAGCCCGCAACCCGGGCATGTGCCCTGACCGGGAATCGAACCCCGATCTCCTGGATCCTAGGTGGATGCTCAACCTGAGCCACGCCCGGCTGGGCCCAAATATTTCGAAAGTTACATACACGTGCAGGTAATACAAAAAATTTGGTCAGCAATAATACACAACCAGACAGTTAACTGCTGTTACCTCTTAAGGGAGGCCCATTTATGCAAAAACAAACAACAAAACTATGAAAATGTATGTGTGAGTTCAGTAGACTAACATCATCATACTTCTATTAACATGGGAATTCATCTGTATGTGCTCAGGAGAAAAAAAAGAGATATAAATATTTAAATAGTGCAACCCACCATTCTACACAGCAAAATGTGCCCAGGAATGAACATGAGTTGGCAGATGTGAATTTTCTGTGGTGTACACATCCTGTCAAGAGAACTGATGCCAAGGTTTAATGATACCCATCCGGTGACAACTCAAGAAATGGTGACCTGTTCCAATCTGGAAGAAAAATTAGTTATGAGAAACTTACTAAAAGACAGGATTGTCAATCTCCAGTGTAGCAATTTCCCCTAAACCTAAGAATTTTCAAGAGTTATTTTGATGATACATGGTCATGCTGTCTTTAGAGCCAATACCACTTGTATCTCTAATACATACATGTTATCTATCAAAATATGTGTATAGGCACTGTTCAGTATTACCCCATACAGTGATGACTGATTACAACATTGGTCAGTCAGCAAAATAAATGAGTATTATATTTTCTTCTGGTCAATGGGCACCATCTGCTATACTGAACAATTGTTATGTTGAAAGGCAATATAGAGTACTTAAGAGGATGGACTCTAGAGCTTAACTGCCCCAGGTATAAATCCTGGTTCCAGCACTTACTCTTTGTAGTGAACTCAACAACTTAATTGTTTGCTTTCCCACATCTTTTTTATGTATGCACATATATATACATCTATATCATATTACAATTAATTTCCATTAATGCTATCACAATTGAGAAAGGCTGCTATGACTGCATACCAGTTTTGTGACACCTTTTTATAAGACCTCTAACCTCTCTTGGCTTAAATTTCAACTTTCATAAAATGGGAATAATGCATAATCTATAAGGATTTAAGATGAGAGAATATACATAAAAACATATTTACTACCTAGTACATGGCAGACACCCCTGTTGACTTATCTGCTGAATGGATTGATCACTGACAGTAGGAAAAAAGAGGTAAGCAAAATGCAACCCTTGGTCTGCTTCTGACTCAGTTCTCTGAGCCCAAGCTATAATTCTTTTGAGTTTTTACTACAAGGCTGAGATGAGAAAGGCACATCATGGCACTGAAGTAGTACTCATAACACCAACAGTCTTAAATCATTGAAACTAAGATTTTATTAAGAAAAAAAGAAAAGAACAGAGAAGGGAGGGTCTCCCTCACATCAGTCCTAATTTCAAAATTATGTCACCCAGAAAAATTTCTCTAACTCAAACTAGCCTTTCTGTAACATTCTTTTCAGTACACACACTATGGTAACACACTTTACAGTATAAGAAAATCTTACGACAAAGTTCTTCAGGTGCTATGTTCCTTTGTGTGTGTCTATATATACATCATAGTAGTATCAGAATTAGTTTAATATGAAGTTAAAATATGAAAATATAGAAAGTTATACAGAAACCTGCATATCTTTAGAGCATACTATAAATATTTGGTAGAAAAAAATGATTTATGTGATTTTTTTATTTCTTCTCATTTTTAAAACAAATATGTATTCCTTATCTAAGGAACAAGCATGTTAATTAGGATACATTATTTTATTTTTAACATACTAACACTTAAAAGAGAAAATTCTCACCCTGGCTGACTGTATAAGTTGGTTGGAGCATCGTACTGTATACCAAAAGGTTATAGGTTCAATTTCCGGTCAGGGCACATACCTAGGTTATGGGTTTGATTCCCAGCTGGGGCACTTACCGGAGGCAACTGATAGATGTTTCTCTCTCACATTGATGTCTCTCTCTCTCTCTCTCTCAAAAATCAATAAAAATATATCTCAAGTGAAAATAAAAAATTTTTTTAATAAATAAAACTTAAAAATAAAAGAGAAAATTCTCTGTCCTATCTGGTATTAAGATGTTTGTAACATGCTATCAATAGAATTGTTTTCCCCAAAGCACTCAGCAGAATTTGTTACCATGAGACAGGAATCTAATTTAAAGCATAAGATGTTTAAAGTATGTATATATTACCACCTATGAACTTTAACATAAAAATATTTTCATTATGAGAGGCTTTCGGTCAAGATGGCAGCGTAGGTAAACACAGTACTCACATCCTCCCACAATTAAATCAAAAATACAACTAAACTACAGATCAACAATCAATCAGAATCACCTGAAATCTAGAACAGATGCCCTACAACTAAGGATATAAAGAAGAAGCCACATCGAGACTGGTAAGAGGGTCGGAGACAGAAACAGTCTGGTCCCATACCACTTGTGGCAGATAAAAATTGGGAGGGATATCTTGGCTGCAGAAGTCCCCCTGAGGGGTGCGGGGTCCCAGCCCTCAGGGGAGAGCTGGAGGGGCAGCTTTCTCCCAGACAGAAGTGCTGGCAGAGGCCATTGTTCCTTTTATGAGCCCTTCCCCCACAGAGCTGGCAGGTGGGAGCCATATATTAGTCTCCATTAACCTGGCTAACATTGTTCACCCTGCCCTGGTGATTCCGAGACCCCTCCCCATCCAACCTGTGGGCCTATCCAAGCTGTTTTCAATGCCTTTTCCATACAAATGACATGTCTTGGCTCATGCTTCAGACTTTCCTAAAATCTCTCAAACAAGCAACATCTGGCCTTGGCATGCCCTATATGTCCCGCTAAGTAGCCCCAGGTCCTGCATTAGGGATAGCTGACCTTGGTTCACAGCTTGGCCTCGCCTGGGCACCTCCAAGCCCAGCACAAATAGCAACCATCTGCCGATCACTTTGTAGCTCATGCCAGGTGGCCCCAGGCAGAACACAGGCAGTGGATGACCTTGACCTGCACCTCCTGGGAGGCCCAGAGCCAGCATACCCAGTGGACAGCTTCTCGTCAAAGCACTACCCAACCACCTCCACAAGCAACACACTCAAGGCGTGGACTTAGGCACCAGAGCAGCGCTGAAGTAAGATCTACTCTGTGGGGTGGGCCCTGGCACAGCTGATCCTCAATAGTGGTCAAAGTCAGTCCTTGCCTTGCAGCGCATCAACCTAGGGGTAAATCCCTCCCATTGACGAGTCAACAGCAATCAAGGCTCAACTACAAGAGAAGGGTATACACAGCCCACACAGGGGGCACACATCAAGTGCCCACCTCAGGTGATTGGGGAGGCTGTCCCACTGAACCCTACAGGACACCAACTATATTAGGCCACTCTACTAAGCCCCAAAGACATACCACTCTACTTGGTACATAGAAACAAACACAGATAGACAGTCAAAATGAGGAGATAAACAAACACGTCCCAAGTGAAAGAACAGAACAAAACTTCAGGTGGGGGGGAAAAAAACTGAAAAGAAAAAAACAGAGACAAGCAATCTAGTGGATGCAGAGTTCAAAGCACTGGTTATAAGGATGCTCAATGAACTTAGGGGAAGAATAGCTGAACTTAGGAAGAACTTCAACAGTGTAAAAAAGGGCATGGAAACCATAAAAGGAATCAGTCAGAAATGAAGAATACACTAACTAAAATGAAGAATCATTTACAGGGAATAAACAGTAGAATAGATGAAGCTGAGAATCAAATCAGCAATTTGGAATATAAGGAAGCAAAAAACACCCAATCAGAACAGCAAAAAGAAAAAAGAATCCAGAAACATGAAGATACTATAAGGAGCCTCTAGGACAACTTCAAGCATACCAACACTCATATCATGGTGAGCCAGAGGGAGAAGAAGAAAGCAAGAAATTAAAAACTTATTTGAAAAAATAATGAAAGAAAATTTCCCTAACTTGGTGAAGGAAACACATATGAAACCAGGAAGTGCAAAGTCCCATACAAGATTAACCCAAAGAGGCCCACACCAAGACACATCATAATTAAAATGCAAAAGGTTAAATACAAAGAGAGAATTTTAAAAAATGCAAAAGAAAAGCTGTTAGTACCTACAAGGGGGCTCCCATAAGACTGTTGATAATTTCTCAACAGAAACTTTGCAGGCCAGAAGGGATTGGCAAGAAACAGTCAAAGTGATGAAAAGCAAGGACCTACAACCAAGACTATTCTACCCAGCAAAGCTATCATTTAGAATCAAAGGACACATACAGAGCTTCCCAGACAAGTAAAAGCTAAAGGAGCTCACCACCACCAAACCAGTATTACATGAAATGTTAAAGGGTCTTCTTTAAAAAGTAGAAG